GTTATTTCACCCTGACAGTCGTCGAGAAGAGACCCAGGAGGGCCCCTGACAGGTGGGAGGAACGGGAGGAGGAGAGGGCGGGGGCCGCAGGCAGGTCTCCCGCGCACCCAGGCTCCGAGCCCGCAGACCATCCGCGGACAGGACACACCAAGAGCAATCACGTTCTCACAGCCAGTGTGACTTAGGTGCCCCTGTGCTCAGAATGGTCCTGACAGCTTTCCGGGTTCAGGGTTAACACGTGCATCTTGTGACAACCTTGCATGGCGGGGACTAGCTGTGCTCACTGGCACCTCCTCCGTGACAAGGGCTAGTTCTTGGGCACCTGGATGTAGCGGTGAAATAAACAGGCCACCTCTATACCCCAAAATGACTTCGTACAGGTGTCACGATTATTTAATGAGAAAAAAATTATCCGAAGTACCACTCAGCCGGCACATGGACGGTGCTAAGAAGCACGGCTGTTCTTACTGTTGAGACATAAAGCAACTCCACCAGCAGTACAACAAGGCGCTACGGGACCCGGGCGGGGAGCGTTTAATTCCACGTGGACACTGCACAGAGCAGACACTTAGGATACGTTTAAAGGAGCTCAACTCAGGGCGTAAATGAAGACAGTGCTCAAATGGACGAGACGTTACTCACTATTCACGAGGGGCCCTGACGCCGGCCCTGCCACCCTGCCCCCTCAGACACGCACCCCTGCTCCCGCTCCCGGCCTACGACATCCTCCCATCTTCACGTATACGGCACGTCAGTTACTGATACTGACAGCTTTTTGGTTCTGTGGAATATGAGTGACAGGAATTATTCCCTTTGTATATTTTGGAAGCAGATGGTTGATTCTCATTCATTCAATTCCACATGTAAATGTACTACAGATTGGGGTGAGAATTAAAAAAGAATGAGAGCTTTAATTTTTCACTTGCAAACATGACGTTTCAAATGGCAAGACCATTCCGTACGTAACGGGCCTGGGGTTCTCGTCTCATGACGAAGGGCGAAGACACCAGAGCCAGGAGCCTCAGTCCTCACCCTGGTCCCCTGTGAGCCAGCTGTGTGACCCCAGACATGTCACTGAACCTCTTCTGCCTTCACCTTCCCTCTGCGCAGAGTGAGGGTAATAATACTTGCCTTCTCTGCCCTCAAAGGACTAAACTGAAGGCTGGGCGAGAAGGTGAGTGCTGACAGTGTCACATGGACCCACCACAGAAGGCCTGTCCCGGGAATTCTGCCCAGTTCCCATGCGTGTTTCCAACCTTCCATATCACTGTCCATCAAAGCTGGCTGAGGGCTGGCCAGATAAACACCAGGGAGCGGCTGCCTCTGGGGTTGGGCAGGGACTGGCTGGGAAGGCACGTGAGGGGACTTTCTCAGGTGATGACTTTCTCATAGTGCATCTTGATAAGAGTCTGGGTGAGACACAAGTATCTGACAAAACTTATCAAACGATAGCTTAAGATTTGTGCATTTCACCGCACATACACTTAAGCCAAGAAAAGTAAATAAATTTTGAACTCTAATGATATGCATACTGAAGTGTTAATGGGTAAAATGCACAGAAATCTGCAACTTATTACGGACACACAAAAAAAGATGGATTAAAGGACGGATAGGAGGCTGGATAGATGTCTGATGAATCAAAGAGCCACACGTTAATTATAGAACCCGGATGGTGGGTGTGCGGCATCCGCTGTAAAATTCTCTCAACCCTTCAGTATGTTTGAATATTTTCACAATAAAAGGTTGGAGAGAGAGGGGACAGCTGATACAAAGAGTAAGCTCCAGAAGAGTTCAAAGAACACCACAGGCTGGAGGCGCCCAGAGGCTGGACACTGAGAGGGAAGCACTCAGACGACAGGGACGCTGAGGGTCTTCCGAGAGGTCAGAGGAGGTCTGAGCGAAGGGGCAGAGGCAGGACCTCCCCTGGCGGACACGGCAGCAGAGCACCTGAGCGCAGCCACATAGCTCACTAGAGACCTCAGAGCAACTCCCACACATCTCCTTCTGTAACGCCCTCACCACCAGGGGGGACTGGCACACATCCTGGAAGTGAGAAGAGCCCTCTCCGTGGACAATCCCTGGTCCTGAACACCAACTAGGCACCAGGCCTGGAGATAAAAGGGGAAACCCGCTCGCTGCCCCGAGAGACCAGCACACGGGCCTTGACGATCCCCAATGGACAGGCTCCCCGGAAGTCACCTGCGGCCTCTGAGCCAACAGAGGGCGGGGCAGTGACCCAGCCTAGGAAGCTCTCCAGAGCGACAACTGAGCAGAAACCCATGGAGTCAGTTAACTGAGGAAGACAGGGCAAAGGGCAGGAACAGAAGGAAGCAGGCTGGCTTCTAGGGAGAACAGATGGCTCATCCGAAAGCTGAGAGAGACAGCACGAACGTCCAGCAAACTGAAGTCAGTTCCTAATGATCGCAGTGACGAGAGCTTAATGGGAGAGGCGGGGAACAGAGCTGGAGCCCGAGGCAGAGGCCAGTGGTCTCGGGACAATCGGGATCTCCAAAGGACAAATGTTAGGATGTGCGCTTCAGAAAGAAGCAGCAAGTTTGTAATGAACAACAGACTTGTGATTACCACTTGGGTTTACTTAAGAAAAAGGAAGACGTTTTCCAGTTGCTAAGCTGTGAAGGCAAAGTAAGTCACAGGAGATGTGAAAATTTTTACCATTACAGACTCAGCAGTTTTCTGCCATTCAGTATTAGTTCGCTTATTCAAACAACCAAACCCTATAACGAATTAATTGAATTCAGAATACCAGATGAAGGTATTTCATGTCAGGGAGGCATTTTCTACCTAATCCATATGTTTGCTCCTGAAGAGAGGAGGGAAAAGTAAGAAAGGATGAGATTAAGGTAATATCATCAAAATTTCCCAAAGCCTTAGAGACACGAAGAGCAATAACCATAAAAGCAAAAACCAATGAAGCAGGTCAACCATATTAAAATTAAGGACTTCTGTTCATCCAAGGACGCTGCTGAGAGAGCGGTAAAGGCAACCACAGAGGAGGCGGAGGAGGCCCTCACACCACTCGTCCCCAGCAAAGAAGTCGTCTCAGGGACCCAAGGTGTCCTGCAAGTCGGGAGGGAGCGGCAGACAGAGACAGACAGACAGACAGGTGGCCAGAGAAGGCAGAACACCTACTGGGTAAGAAAGGAACAAGGGCTGACACAATAAAGGACCCGAGTATCCAAAACCTCGTGAGAAGGTTCAACTTCGCTGGTCATCAGGGGCAGGCAGACTCAAGCATGGTGTTCCAGCACTACACCAACCCCCACCGCCACAGAGAAAATGACTGTGGGCGCCAAGCAGCGGAGGGGGCCCGGGGCAAACGCCCCTCCCAGAGGACGGTGCTGCAACTGGTACAAGCACTTCGGAAAAGCAGTTCTGAAGCTGAACGCCTGCAGCCCGTCGGCCAGCACCAGATCCTGGAGACATCCACAGAGACGCCTGCCTCGACCCACCGGCTGGGCCAGGGTACTCACAGCAGCTCTGTTCTCAACAGTGATCCGATCTGCTCAACCACATAATGGAAGACGCCCTGCAGGAGACCACCCTACAGCAGCAAGAACCGGCAGTGGAGGGGGGAGCGGGGGGTGGGGGAGGTGATGGTAGCAGTAATGACAGCAGCTAGTAAGTAACACACCGAGCATTTTGTATGTATTATCTCATTTCATCCTCCTAATACTCCTCGGGTGCAGCTGCTACATTAGTGGTACTTTACATAAGAGGAAGATGCCGAGGGGTCCGACTTCCTGCCCAAGGTAACTCCCAGCCAGTGAGTGACTGTCAGAATCTGAACCCAGGCAGCATCTTCCAAGGAGGAGAGAGACAGACGAGGAGGACAGACAAGACAGACACATGCTTCACTTCTCACGCACAGACTTTCATCAACATCAATGGGAGAAAAAGACCAGGCACCCCGAAACCCTCCCCAGTAGGACCAGCCCAGACTAACCCCTTCTTACACAACCCACATTCCTTCTTTCGTGACATAAGTTTTTGCACAACAAGTTCCCCACACTCATCCCTGGACGTTCCCTCCAGCTGAAGTGACCAGCTGTCCTGTGGCTCTACCTCTAATGGGCGCTTACTTCACTTGGGTTTTCCTGTTGCAACGTCATCAGCGTAAACGGGGCGGCGTGGGCTTCTGCCAGGGAGTGACATGTGCACAGCACATCTGTTCCCAGAAACCCGACCAGGACCAGCCGGGCTCCCGCTGCACACCCGGCTCACCTCGCTGCTGCGTCCAGAGCACGTGAACAAACACCCCGAAGCCCCACCAGCCTCCTCGCCCTGCTCTGCCTTTGTCCTCGTCCTCACCGGCCTGTGTAATTTCTCCAACTTTACTAAACGACCTGACTTCACTCCCACTTACTATTCCTGCTGCCCTCCCTCCTCCTATGCAACACATGCCCCCTTTGAGCAACACCACTCACTCACCTGTAACGAGGCACTGCCTCAGGCAACCGCCTCTAATTCTTACAACCACTTTACAGGGTAAGTACTGCCTCCCCTGTTTAGCCATGTGGAAGCTGAGGCACGTGCAGGACGAAGGGCTGGTACACGGTGAAGCCAAATCTAACACAAGTCTTACGACCCCGAGCTACACATGCCCGACAGCTAGGAAACACAGCACCCGTCTCTAAGGGGAGCGTGGGGATTCTAAGCGCAGACCCCACAGAAAACACTGGGCTGAACGGGTGGGTCCCAAATGGTGATGCTTCTGAGCCTGCAGATGTTTCTCTTCCTCCGTTCATTCGAGGATAACTTTCCCGAGGTTCTGATCAGCATACAGAGCATGGCCAGTACAAAGGCGCATTCTCTGCTCCGTTACCTTTCTCTGTGAGCTCGTCACCCCTGATTAGGACACTAATTTTGTGGTGGCATCACATTAAAAGTGGAAGGAGTTTTCAGACTTTCTGAACACTGGTTATTTTAAGTGTATCTTCTGTAGATAAAAAAGATAAACATTTCTGCTTAAAAATGCCTACCTTTGGTGGTAAGAATTTTTGAGGTGACTTCCAGTTTCTCCAGTGGTTCCATCCCAATATTTTCCAGTTTAACGACCAGGTGCTGAGTTTCTCCATTGTAAAGCTGCACTGACACATTAGTAGATACTTCATCTCCAGAGGAAGGCTGCAATGAGTGTGCAGACCTAAAACAACAGTCATGATTACAATCAATTTTAGAAAGAAACAAAAGAAAGCCAATCGCACTTCAGAATTATTCACATCACTACACTTAAGCATTTCAGAACCGGGGACCAGGGAGCCTAGCTTTCACAGCTTAGCTTCGTCCAGCGACCAGGGACACACGGCCAAACCGCCACATGCCGAGTGCTGTCCACACACAGAAGTGCCCCGGGTCACTGGCGTGCCATCCACGTGATCACGCTCACCTGGCCTTACTTTCTCACGTGTGTATGAAGCATACAAATTTTTAATTATTGGATTAGATTGAGGGTAAAAATGAAACGGGATTAATTCAAATGATCCATGAGCATGGTGCACTCTCAAAAAAATTTTAAATCTTCTGTTCAGAAATGCCCTGGGAAAATCCACAGATTTAAGAAGAAAATTTAAATGAACCATTCCAAATGATAACATGGGAACTGGAGGAAAAGAAAAACAAGAAGAACACACAACAGCCTCTGTACCACAGGTAAACTGATAAGCAATACAGGCAAATTCCTGCCGTGACCCAGGGC